TCAAAGGGCTTCTTCACTATGTACTGACACTATACGGTCCTTGCCCCTTTAAAAGAACGGCCTAATCGTTTTCAGTAGTCGTCGATTGTCATTCTCTAAAAAATCGGCTACAGGAATCGCTGAGCTCAATGTAGGGATAATTGTAAAACGCGGCATCAGTACTCGGACATTGAAAACAGGGAAGAGGATCTGAGCTTTATATTCAATTAATATAGTCTTATTTTTAATATTTTGCATCCACATGCTCAAGAACTTGTCAGGCAAAACGTCAGCACATGAAGCTCATCTGCTCACTCTGGCAGGTCTTTCATAATATAAAGTTGTAGTGGTGTGCATTCCTGAATAAAAATTGATTAAACCTTTTGATTGCTTATTATGCATGTTGCATTTAGTCAAATCAGTTATCACTTCAGAATTGCAAAAAAACGCATATCTATCCTACGTAAATCCATATACAAGTGGTCAGCTATGTAATTCAACACTTTTTTAGCTAGTGACACGAATTGAAAGGATTTGTCTAGCTTGAAATTGGCTCGCAATCACTTTCTCTCCGCTCATAGTCATGTAATTTGGATGTAAGGCTGAATTAAGCTAGAGAAACCGATGGGCAGTGTTAGCATAAACTTTTCAGTAAAATCCAGCTATTGCAGGTCAGCAACAACTGCCACCATTTTTGTTGAGACAGACTACGCAACCTAATAGAAAATGATAATGGCTCGAAACTTATCTAAGTTCTATTCGCTCGAGAACCCAGAAATTATTTTAAACGAATCATCTGTCCCCGCTCTTCAGGCAAGCAGCCGTTACTTCCCAGTCGACCCGTCTCCATGTTCCCTGGTGGCTCACAGGCGCCATATCGACCGAATCCTGTCACCACGGATGTATTGTCTGACAGCCGGAAGCCCGTTTCGCCAGACAGAGGGCAAAATATCTCTTCTAATGCTGACCCTTCAGCCGATAGCCCTGACCCAGCATACATTCCGGTTTCAGTGAAGGACCGCGCCGCCTTCTTGTCTGCTGCTACAGGCACCTCACCTCCGCCACCACTATTTCCTTCTTCTCTTGGAGGAGCCAGCAAGGGGCCCCTGCCGAAACGGCCCTCCTGATGAGATTCCGAGGCGTCTAGAGTATGCCAGATGCAGAGAAACGTTGGTCGAATGAAATGGAAGTTTCGTTCAATACTAAGTGAGTCATAAGCAAGAAGGCTTGAACATAAATTATTTAGAGATTCCATTACAAGTCAATTGTAATACTACTTTCTTACGACAAATATTTATTATCTCCAGGCTTGCTCCATGCATGTATATAATGTAGAAGGCAAGACTAAATTCCCCTGAGAATCCAAGTTTTGCCTGAGTGGCCAGTATTTGCACTTATTTTGCTGCTTCGGCTCTGATTTTATATTGCTTAAATGCACGCCTTAGATTCTACTTTTTGTTAGTGTTACAATACTCAGTATATTGTAATTATTTTTTTAGTTTCTCGGCAGCCCACCGCGATTGAATGAAGGTATCTTAACAAGATACTAGAAACAAACATTGACAAACAAGGTGAAAACAAATTAGTATTTTAATGTCTTCACCCCCAGACCTCATTATGCCACAGGGTGATATGTATGGTCGCCCTGCTCATATTGGTCGCCTTACTACCACTGTCCTAGAACTTCACCATTCACCCATTCCACTGGCTTTCTCGTTCTTTTTATCATTCTGGACACTGCGCCAATCCCAAACTTCACTCGACTGCTCCTGACAGTTTCCACGATTTCACTTAACCAAGAGAACTATTTATATTTTTCCAATTGATATTCCTTATACGTATAGCTGCACATGCTCATATGGTCGTGCGTGCCTGTCTGGATATATATATATATATTTATACATTTATATGTATATATATACATTTTTATGTATATATACATACATGTACTCAAGCATGCATATACTTTGAATTTTGATTCTCATGTAAATTTTGCCTTGCCCTCGCTGACCGAGCAGAATGCGAAAAATTATTCCAATTTTGAGACTCCTATTCTGGTCACCTGTCTTGACATTCTCAAAGGTTTAGTTAATTTAACGTATGGCACTGCCACAAATCTCTTTTTAACTCCGCATTGGCGATTAAAAAGCCCGCCCCTCGGATAAATGCCTTCGGATGCACCTGTTTTGCGTCTTCAACTCTTAGATTCGCATTCACCTATTTGCTCTTCTTTTTCGGCTTCATCAGATTCATCTAAATATCCATTATGAGTGCTACAGTTAACAGCAACTGGCCCATCTCCTTAATTGCCAAATAATCTACTACTAAAACACCTTTGCCTTTTGACTATTTTTTTTACATAAAGGTTTCCGTACATATGCCTTACACAGTTAATTGGTATCCAGCATGCTTTCACACCACGTACCTTTGCCGACCTGTCCTGAACACTTATGCATTCTGACATTTATAATTCGAACTCGAAATTACTCGGAGGTT